AAGTGGAGTCGTCAGCGTTGAAATTAACAATTTGAAGGAGGACTGTTTCCCTTGAAACGGATTCATTTCCTCCCTCCAGTTGAACGCCTGCCCTGTAGCTACACATCCAATACAAGTACCTTAATGTATTTTCGGTGTTTCCTAGAGTCCTTTGCATTTGCTCATGAACTCTTAAACCGGCCTCTTGGCGGGGGGGGGGGGGGGGGGAGGGCAGATGATGGGAAATAGTTAAATTATTCCCCCTTCCCCTCTGCTCAGTAAGTATCAGCTTCTCCTCTCCAGCCTTTGGCCTCAGAAATGTGTTTGCCCTTGGCCGGAGAAGATGGAGACGCGGGGTTAAACCGGTTTTTATTTCCGTATTTTAGTGTCCGTATTCCGGTTCCTATTTTGTCCCATCCAGAACCTACGACTAGACAAAGAGCCCTCTCCCGGCTGGAACGAAGATCCTCAACCTGACTCCCCGCGCGCGGCACACGCGTCTTCCGATTGGTCGGATTACCGTCCAATAGGAAAGAAGACCGGCGTCTGCTATTTACATAAATTCCTAGCGGTCCCGGCGCAGCCGGCCGTCCAATCGGATTCCAGCGATTTGGAGCCTTCATTTGAATATGGAGACCATAAATAACGCTGCCGGAGCCGCCCGCGCGCCTCTGAGCGCTGTCACGTCGCCGCCCCGCCAGCCATGCCCGAGCCGTCCCGCTCGGCGCCCGCGCCCAAGAAGGGCTCCAAGAAGGCCGTCACCAAGGCGCAGAAGAAGGACGGCAAGAAGCGCAAGCGCAGCCGCAAGGAGAGCTACTCCATCTACGTGTACAAGGTGCTGAAGCAGGTGCACCCCGACACCGGCATCTCGTCCAAGGCCATGGGCATCATGAACTCGTTCGTCAACGATATCTTCGAGCGCATCGCCAGCGAGGCGTCGCGCCTGGCGCATTACAACAAGCGCTCGACCATCACGTCCCGCGAGGTGCAGACGGCCGTGCGCCTGCTGCTGCCCGGGGAGCTGGCGAAGCACGCCGTGTCCGAGGGCACCAAGGCCGTCACCAAGTACACCAGCTCCAAATGAGGCGCGCCGGGGGCCCCGGAACCCAAAGGCTCTTTTCAGAGCCACCTCTGTGCTCAGAAAAGAGCGTGCCACCCGGTCTAATCTAGTGCTGCTCCATGGGGGTCCTGGGGCACTGGAGTGCGTGACGGGGCGCAAGACTTGGTCTAAAGCTGAATTCCTCTAAAGGAGTGTATCCCGCAAGGGCCTCTCGCCTCAGTGTCCACCGAGCCAGCAGCGGCAGAGGGAGCGCGGCCTTGGCTTTATAAAGGCGGGGGCCCGGTGGGGTGAGGGCGCGCGTCACCTCCAGGAAGTCCTCAGGCCACCCTCCCCAGCAGCACCCCCCCCCCGGCCCTTAATGGGTGAGGTCGGGGTCCGCTGGGCGCGATGGTAGTGAGGCTCTGGGTGTTGTGCGGCCTTGGTGGCGTCCTTCCCTGGCCCCACTGGGCACCAGGAGCTTCTGGCCACAATCCCCTCAAGCAGTGTTGAGTTGAAGCAGCTTTTTATGGGCATCGAGCGTTTCTGTTGGAAAAATCAAAACGGCGGGAGCGCAGATCGTGGCCTCCGAACTCCTACTCCGCCAAAATGCTTCCTATTAGGAGACCGCTATTTCTTTTTTCGAAAAACGTGTATACTTTTAACATAAGCCTAGTAAGCGGCCAAATATCCTTTTTATTGTATTCATTAGTTTCAGACGTGTTTAATATTTTATCAGTATCTGTGTAACACCCAGTGGAAAGAGCCTTTTTAACAAAACGAAGGGAGGGCATTTAAGGAAAACAAAACAAAAACAAACAGGTAAATGATACGCAAAGGGGATAAAATGTGCCTGCTTCATAACTGAAGCATCCGGCTCCCTGGCCCTAAAAACATCTGGTACTGGTGACTCCCACCAAAGTACAAAGCACACCTCCAAGAGCATCCTAGTCTCCGAAAGCCAGCAGGCCTCCCAGGATCTGGGTGGAAGCCTTGGTTCCCTCAGGCGGGCCTTGGCCTGATTCCTGTGCCCTAGGGGACTCACACCATCTCTGGTGACTGCCACGCTTCCTTCAGCATTTAACCTATTACACAGTAAGCTGTTTGCTTTTTTATTAAAGGGATAGCCCCTCCCACTCAAATTTGACTTGAAATTTTTAGCTGAGATGGAGGGTCGGGAGAGTTTCTTAAATGGGCCTCAGGTAAGATACCTGTGAAATCCCTACAGTGCCTTCCAGATCTAAGCGTTTACTTTGTTATCTCAAACCCAGAGAATTCTTCCATTGTGTTGGGCCCTCCCTCTCCGAGCCTATGCGCTGTCTATACCCAGCGAGCCTCTTGCTCCAACCTCCAGCTTAACGTAAATAACGTTTCTCTTGCTCTGTTGTAGCAGTATTACAAACGTGGGCTCTCTATTCAATCTGCCTCCATTTTCTTGATTATAAATTCTCAACAGCAGGGACTCTCACCCTGCATCTTCCTTAACAGATTCCCTGGGAGGAGAGGGCCCAACTGGGCCCATGCTCCGTCCAGGGCTGTGGGGCTGGCTGTCTCTGCAGCCTCCACCATACTGTTGAGCAAATAGAGGCAGTCGTCTTTTTTTTGTCTTCGTGCTAATGAAGTGTGTGTGCCAGAGCCCTGAAAAGACTGAGAAATTAATCTGCATTTTGCATTACCCACAACAAAACATTCTCATACTAATGTATTTGGGATTTGTTTATTTTGCTTTTTTATTTTTGTTGCCTACTGCTAGCAATTTCACACACTGGTGGAGACGAGTTTCATTTCATTAAACCTATGTTTTAAGCTCATTATTCAGGCAGAGAATCACGTGGGTCTGGGAGACTAGTTTCCTGTTCCCTCCTGAAGATACGGACTCCTAATCTACCTGGGTAGTGGGCTGAGGGATCAGACCCAATCAGGAGGCCCCTGCTTCATAGTGGAGGGCTGGATTCTGTAGTGTTCAGTATGAATCATACATCTCTTAAAATTAAAGGTGTTGATTCTGATGATACCTCACCCGTTTTCAAATTTTGGGATGGTAACTGGGAGTGAAAGAATGGAGTAAAATAGCCATGACAAAATTTCTGTCACTATGGGTTTTTTGGGTGTTTTGTTTTGTTTTGTCTGTAAATATTGGTTCAGAGCATGTATCTAAAAAAGAAAGTAAAGGGAAAGCAAGGATGCACACCGATATCACTGTAACCATAACAATACTATATGTGCCTATCGAGGCATAAACTGAACGAATAATGCAGGAAGCATCACCACCGATCTCACTGAATGACGTAGGTTTCACCAAGATTAAATTCTGATTGTTTGAGGATTACAATTATCTATCTTTGATAACTGTGTACCAAAACTTATGTTTTCATCCATTGCGCACTGCCCAGGTGATTTTTTAAGTATTTTTAAATTTCAATTTACATAACTTTCATTAATTTTTTTTTTTTTTTGGATAAGTAAGGGTAGTAGATAAAACAATTAAAAACATATCTTACATTTCGATGAAAATCTGAGAGGTGCAATGGGTATGAGTTCAGGGAGAAAAAAAGGATCATCTAGACCATCTCAGTGTTAACGAAGAATTTGATCATGTGTTTTATGAATTGATTATGGTATCGAATTGCTATTTCAATAGATACCTTGAAAAGATTGATGTGATCACCTATATCTCAATTAAAAAAATTTTGAAAATGTGTAACAGCTCAAGAACGTTACAAATATTCCAACGTTTCTTTAAAAATTTTTGTTGGTAACGTCCTGTGTTGGGATTTGCATCCTTGTAACTATTAGAACTAAGGATAAAAGTATTTTAGATGTCAACTGAAAAACGTGTGAGATTTTAAATCCCTTTAGATTGGACCCACGCAGAAGTAATGGGTGGGTGGGCTTCCAGCCGCTGGAGCGGAGGACGCCCGGGGGGCGACGTTCCCTCCAGACCCTCCCGCCCAGCCCAATACCCGACCGGCCTCCTTCCGAGAGACGATTTGCAAAAACACGACTGTTCTCTTTCATTGTGTATGGATGCCACCACCTTCCAATACATCTAAGACTCAAACACGCTCAAGGAAGCGATTAAAAATCCCTTGTTTACAAATAAGAGCAAAGTGAAGGAAAAGGCAAAGCGATGTCTTTTCCCAAGTGAAGACTCTTCGTGCCAAAGCGCTTTCTCAGACCGAGAACACTTTCCAAATTAAATGTCATAAATTCAAAGAAAGGGGGAATTGTACGTCACTGACGCTTCACAGAAAATAATAACAAAGTTGCTGAAAGAGAAAGGAGCTAATTTGTTCAGAAAAGGGGGAATTACAGAGAAAGGGAATTATTGTCTTGAGCTGATCTCCCCCATCCCTGCAGCAGGAAGCGGCTTATTACATCTGGCTCCCGCGCACAGGACGCTGCCGTCTCCCTCTCGGTTTCAATGCCGCTGCAAGATCCAGCTACGCAAACATCCTCCCGGAAATGTCCCCTGCTTGAGAATAAAGATGTCCGATCCAGGCAGGGATGCAGCTCCAGGCGCCACCGCCTGGGCTGCGCAACAACCAAGTCCTCAGCTCCGGAGTCCATTCATCAGGGACACCGGGAAAGGAAGGCTCGCATGAGGTCCTTACGGAAGAAAGGACCCGCGCCCCTCACCCACAGGCGCACGCCACGCGCGGACCGTGCGCGGCCTGGGAGTCCACGCGCGCAAACGCCGGGGATACGCTCTGCAGCCACCAGAGGATGCAGAGCTCAAGGCTCCTACTTCGACTAACGATGCATGAATAGCCCCCAAGCGGAGGGTGGACACGGGCTCCTTGGTCGCACTGGCCACGGCCACCATCCTAGACCTCCGTAAAAAACACCTACACATTCTTGCTCTCTGCTCACATACGCACAGGCGCGCGCGCACACAAACCCGATAACCAGGAAACGGACGCACACAACGGAATTGGTTCACATGACAACCCTTCACCGTGTTCGAAACCCTTTTTCGATTGTGTGGGTGGCTCTGAAAAGAGCCTTTGGGTTCCGGGGCGCCCGGCGCGCCTCATTTGGAGCTGGTGTACTTGGTGACGGCCTTGGTGCCCTCGGACACGGCGTGCTTCGCCAGCTCCCCGGGCAGCAGCAGGCGCACGGCCGTCTGCACCTCGCGGGACGTGATGGTCGAGCGCTTGTTGTAATGCGCCAGGCGCGACGCCTCGCTGGCGATGCGCTCGAAGATGTCGTTGACGAACGAGTTCATGATGCCCATGGCCTTGGACGAGATGCCGGTGTCGGGGTGCACCTGCTTCAGCACCTTGTACACGTAGATGGAGTAGCTCTCCTTGCGGCTGCGCTTGCGCTTCTTGCCGTCCTTCTTCTGCGCTTTGGTGACGGCCTTCTTGGAGCCCTTCTTGGGCGCGGGGGCCGACTTGGACGGATCAGGCATGATGGCAGATCTCTCCAAACAAAAGGAACCCACGTCCTGAGGAACTGTATTTATACGTCCTGTATGCAAATGAAGGATCCAGAGTTCCTCGTTTCTGATAGGCTCAAATGCCGCGCAACGTCACTACTTGAAAAGGCGCATGCAAATTAGGGGAATGGAGGCCTCCTTTTCTGATTGGTCGCCATTGCTATCCAATCGGACGAGGCCGGCTTGACTACCTCTGGACCATATATAAGGGCTCACAGAGCCCGGTACCTTCGCTACTTTGCCGGCTTTTTTCGGCTTTCTTTTCCCCCGGCACCCGACTTGGAAATGTCCGGCCGAGGCAAGCAGGGCGGCAAGGCGCGCGCCAAGGCCAAGTCGCGCTCGTCGCGGGCCGGCCTTCAATTCCCCGTGGGCCGCGTGCACCGTCTGCTCCGTAAAGGCAACTACTCGGAGCGTGTCGGGGCCGGCGCCCCCGTGTACCTGGCGGCCGTGCTCGAGTACCTGACGGCGGAGATCCTGGAGCTGGCGGGCAACGCGGCGCGCGACAACAAGAAGACGCGCATCATCCCGCGCCACCTGCAGCTGGCCATCCGCAACGACGAGGAGCTCAACAAGCTGCTGGGCCGCGTGACCATCGCGCAGGGCGGCGTCCTGCCCAATATCCAGGCCGTGCTGCTGCCCAAGAAGACCGAGAGCCACCACAAGGCCAAGGGCAAGTGAGGCTGCGGAGGCGGGCTGGCAGCGGCCGTGCGCCCCAGGGGCCCCGTGACACCAAAGGCTCTTTTCAGAGCCACCCACAGTCTCGAGAAAAGAGCCACACTGAGCACGCATCCTTTCCTTGTTTTAGGACTGCGTCCTCGCGGGCGCTCGGGGAGCCGGGCCCGAGGCACGATCCGGGCGCCCCTACGCGCGCGGTGGGCTCCCGCGTCCGTTTGCCCCAGGAAATGCCAGCGGACACGTGTCTGGCGTCTGCCTTTGAATCTCATCCCCAACCCTTGGGCTCGGTCCGGGTCATCGTGAGGGTATCTTCCTGCGGCTGACCGCTGCCTTCGGCTGCGGAAAGTGTCATGCGGTCACATCTAGACGCCAAGTACAGGCTGTTTTTTTCCCGGGTCTGGCTAACCGGGCAGTTTTACCTGGTTTTGAAAATACGTACTGTGTAGAGAATCTGCTTCTTGAGGTTCTGCTACGTAAACCTTTTGATTTACTTTTAAAAATGGAACGGTGCTTGACTGATTGGATGTTGCAAAGTTCTGGAAACCGGTCCTTCAGAGTTATGAGCTAATGTGGAGATTAAGATCTTGGAAAGGGTTTTTGCTCTAGAGGCGTTTGCAACATTTAAAAGAAAGTCGTTTTTAAGGGGAGGGTAAATTTTATGACGATTTAAGAGAACTTAAATTATTCAATCTGGGTTGGCCAAACATGAATCCGAGTCCCTTAACCTGATAGCTAAAATTAGGGACTAGAATAATTTGTCTATTGAGTTTGGTCAGGAAAGCTAGGTTTGTGAATTTAGTACCGGTACAGCGAACATTGTTAGGATCAGATTATGTAATACATATGTGGCTATTTCAGAAAAGGACTGTTCTTGAGCTGCATATTGTGTAATAAATGGGAGTTGGACAATCCCAGGGGTCCTGGCAACGTGATGAGAATGTACATAGCACCCACCTCATGGGGGAGGAGGGATTAAGTGGTTGATTCATAATAATTCCTTTAAAACAATGTCTGGCACAGAGAAAGGGCCTGATAACTGTTGTTGTTCCTATTGTCAATATCTTTATTGTTTTCATTACTTTTTTATAGCAATAAAGACAGGTGGGTAAGACAAGGATTATTATAAAAATTGTACTTACTAAAATTAGGTCTACTCAAACCAGGGCTGCCTAGACACCATCTGGAGCTAACCACACATCTGCTGGTCTTAGGAAAATATCCTAGTGCTGTGAAAGGGAGTCACACCAGGGATGTCCGAGCCTGCTCTGTCCACGTGCATCTGAGCACAGGACTCCCCAGCAGTGGAGGGACGCAGCAGAGCACGTGGCTGAGCGGGCCCCATTTCTGTGATGCAGGCTGCATGGACTGTCCAAGAGACTATAGAGCCTTCTGGAGATGGAGCTGGCCATTCTGTTTCCAGTGACGGTCTTCAATTCTAGCTGAAATTTGTGTTTATGCGTTGATATCAGTGTTGGTCATTGTATGTCATCAAACCCCTCAGTGGTATTTAAGAAATGTTTTTCGGGGGCAGGGGGGCTTGGGTATGCTGAGTCTCCCCGTGGAGCTCCCAACTTTTCATTCCTGAAATGGGATGCTAAGAGGGAGGCAGCCCTAAGGTGGCTGAGCTGTCCCCTGTGGAGAGGAAGAAGCAAGGGCTGTTCGGTTTTCAATGATACAAGATGAAACACATGGATACAGTTTCTTAGCCGCCCCAGCCACACATCGGACAGCGGGGGAACAGACTAGCTCTATCATCGCCTCAAGTTCCATTGCACGGCTCTGGTCTAACGTCTGATCATTTGCGACGGTTTCCTGGTTCAGAAGTGTGATAAAATCCTCAGAGCTGCCCACTCTGCAAGACAAAGCCCATCAGACCCTCGCTCCAGTAAGAAAGCCCCAGGTGGCCCAGCAGGCCCACTCCCAATGATTCAGTGACTCGCACATTCCCAGCAGCACAAGATTGCTCACATCCCAAAGCTGGAAACAGCCCAAAGGTCCCCGCAGATATATGCGCAAACAAACTGTGCTCTGTGCGCTTAGTGGAATGTCATTCAGCCAAGGACAGCCGCACCGGCAAGCGCTACCACATGGCAGAACCTCGAACACATATCCGGGAAGCCAGACAACAAGGCCACGCAGGGTATGGTCCCATTTATAAGAAATGGCCAGAAGAGAGAGATCCGTGGAGGCGGGAAGCAGATCAGTGCTTGCCAGGGGCTAGGGAAGGAGGTTGGATGACGCAACACACCATTAGCCTCTGCGGAGGCCTGAGCTTCGAGGCCAGTTCCCGGCTCCCTGTGGCAAGGGCCATGGGATTATCTCTGTTGTGCTCCCCACGTCCCTGTGGGGTGAGTAGTTTATTCAGAAAGGTGAGCCAAGGAGACACAAAGTCCCACAGGTAGAATGCAAAAACATCCACACCCACTGCCAGGAAGGTTCTTCCAGCTTCCGGAATTCTCCCCTCACTTTGGCCAGGTGCCATAACTAACCCTGCTGCTTTCCTGGGCATGGGTCTGTCCCCAGCCCGCCCCACATCTGGTCTCTCCTTGCTCTGTTCATTTCCAACATGTTCAAGAATCTCCCAAGGGGGTGCCTGGGACGCTGGGTGGCTCAGTCGGTTAAGGGCCTGCCTTGGGCTCAGATCATGATCTCAGGGTCCTGGGATTGAGCTCCACGTTGCGGGGCTTCCTGCTCAGCAGGGAGTCTGCTTCTCCCTCTCCCCAATTCTGCCCCTCCCCCCCGCTCGTGATCTCGCTCTAATGCTTTAAAAAATGAAAAAATAAAAATTTTAAAAAAGAATCTTTCAAGTGAGTAAGTATAAAAGGACCCCCTCATTTTCTGTGTTTGCTTAGACCATGATTTAGAGTGTTAGGGGACACACCTTGAGGAGGACTCGGTCACCCAGCCTGAGAGCTGTCAGGTCTAGGCTGAGCGGAGCTGTTCTGCCCGCATGCTGTTCTCTCGCATGGAGGTCCCGGACCTGGTCCTCAGAATCGACCTCATGCTCCCAGGAGGGTCTGTTTCTATGCACTGCTCACCAAGCCTCACGGAGGCTTTGCTTTTCTCCCGCGCCCGCCCAGCAAAAGTTTTAAAATTGCATCATTCCCTCTGCCCACACCCCTCCACGTGGGTGGCTGGGTCCCAAGCAGCGCTCTGGGGAGACCACGTCCTGGCGCCTCCCTCCTCCCCCCGGGACCGTGGAGCCTGTGACCACCTCTCCTGCCAACCCTGCCCTCGGGCTTCCAGGACACCTTTCGTTACCCACTGCCCGTCCACGGCTGGCCCCAGCCCTGGGGCAGCCCTACTTGGGTGCCATCTTGCCAGTTTTCTCCGGCGGGATGATGGAGTAGCCCAAAATGTCCTAGCTGCTGGAGGGTCAGGGCGCTCCTTCTCATGCCTGGGTGCCTTGTGTCTTCTTATATATAGTCTCACTCCAAGGACAGTTCAGCTTCCTGACATCGTCCCCCAAGGACAGAGTCCCCAGGACCCCTGAGGCCCAGGCTGCACCCTGCGTCGAAGGCACACCCCCATGGCCGCCCCTCCTCAGTGTCCCCCCAGCCAGGTAGGCCCACCTGGAGACCATCAGCACATGCAGAAAGTCGGGAGGCAGATCCTCTCTGTGGAGACACCCTAGTCCTGGATCCCATCTGTAGTGCTCTCCCCCCAAATACCCCATTCTAATGGCCAGAACTTGTGACTGTGATCCTATTGGGGGACAGGGTTTTTCCAGGTGTGATTTAAAGATCCTGAGATGAGAAGGTCACCCTGGATCGGGCACTAGACTAGAACATGCCAAGAACTCACAACACTCCACAGTGAAGAAGCACTCTTGGATTTTGGCAGGCCAGGCTTCCCTTTTGCCATTCATCCGCTCAGTGCACCCTCATTCCCTCCTCCTGGAGGGAGCACTTGTTCTACTGTCTTAGAATATTCTATTCTGCTGGAGAAGACAAGAAAAAAAAAAGTGGGCAGGTGGGGTGGGGGGAGGAGAATGGATGAATTTCCTAAGATGGAAGCATAGATAAAAGTGAGGCGAGAGAGTGGGGCTTAAAGATACCAGAGAACCAAGACACAGGGTAGTTAAATGTGAGGCTTCTGGGCACTAAGTATTTGTGAGTGTTAAGTATACAGGAGGAGCTAAATATTCAGGATTATTAAGTATGCAGTAGACACTAAGCAATCACCTTTGAGGCACTGAGTTTCCGTTAGGTCTTAGCCATCTCTGGGACTCTCCATAGGTGAGCCGTCCCGGAGTGGCAGGGACCCCACAGCTGTGTGCATGGGCCCAGCACCCCCGGTGACCCCACCATCAG